AACTCTTCTTGCACATACTTTTCACCCATATACTTTTCACCCAGAGACTCTTCACCCAGAAACTCTTCTTGCACATACTTTTCACCCATATACTTTTTACCAAGAGACTTCACCCAGAAACTCTTCTTGCACATACTTTTCACCCATACTTTTCACCCAGAGACTCTTCACCCAGAAACTCTTCTTGCACATACTTTTCACCCATATACTTTTCACCCAGAGATTCTTCACCCAGAAATTCTTCTTGCACAGACCACCCAGAGACTCTTCACCAGAAACTCTTCTTGCACATACTTTTCACCCATATACTTTTCACCCAGAGACTCTTCTTGCACATACTTTTCACCCATATACTTTTCACCCAGAGACTCTTCACCCAGAAACTCTTCTTGCACATACTTTTCACCCATATACTTTTCACCCAGAGACTCTTCACCCAGAAACTCTTCTTGCACATACTTTTCACCCATATACTTTTCACCCAGAGATTCTTCACCCAGAAACTCTTCTTGCACAGACTTTTCACCCATCTCTTCACCCAGAAACTCTTCTTGCACATACTTTTCACCCATATACTTTTCACCCAGAGACTCTTCACCCAGAAACTCTTCTTGCACATACTTTCACCCAGAGACTTTTCTTGCACATACATTTCACCCATATACTTTTCACCCAGAGACTCTTCACCCAGAAACTCTTCTTGCACATACTTTTCACCCATATACTTTTCACCCAGAGACTCTTCACCCAGAAACTCTTCTTGCACATACTTTTCGCCCATATACTTTTTACTCTTCACCCAGAAACTCTTCTTGCACATGCTTTTCGCCCATATACTTTTCACCCAGAGACTCTTCACCCAGAAACTTTTCTTCCACATACTTTTCACCCATATACTTTTCACCCATATACTTTCACCCAGAAACTCTTCTTGCACATACTTTTCACCCATATACTTTTCACCCAGAGACTCTTCACCCAGAAACTCTTCTTGCACATACTTTTCACCCATATACTTTTCACCCAGAGACTCTTCACCCAGAAACTCTTCTTGCACATACTTTTCACCCATATACTTTTCACCCAGAGACTCTTCACCCAGAAACTCTTCTTGCACATACTTTTCACCCATAGACTCTTCACCCAGAGACTCTTCTTGCACATACTTTTCACCCATATACTTTTCACCCAGAGACTCTTCACCCAGAAACTCTTCTTGCACATACTTTTCACCAATAATATACTGTTCACATCTTTTCACCCAGAGACTCTTCACCCAGAAACTCTTCTTGCACAGACTTTTCACCCAGAGACTCTTCACCCAGAAACTCTTCTTGCACATATAATGGTCCCACATCGGAGCCTCAATTTTTCCATTGTGTTTCCATCCCATCAATTTCCGTCATTTTACTCTTATTTTACTTGGCATCATTTTGGTCCCACATCAGAGCCGCAATTTTTCCAATATGTTTTCCATTGTTTTTCTCCACTTCTTCATCATAGTCCCTCGATTTTTCCATTGCTTTTCCATCGCTAATGGTCTCACATCGAAGCCACATTTTTTTCATTTTTTTCCATTGCTTTTCCATAGTTTTACTCGACATCATTTTCCCCTCCATTCCAGTCTCCCCAGTGTTTTTTTCACAGTTTTTCCTTCAGTTTTACTCAATCGTCCCATAGTTTACGCTAGGCTATCAATTTATCCTTCCATTTCATCAATGTTTCCAGTGTTTTGCCATGGTGTTACTCGATTTCTCCATCATTACCCTTCTATTATCTCAGTGTGTCTAACGCTTACACAAATGCACCTCCCACAATCCCTACCTACCGTTGCACCGTATAAACGGTTTTGCTCGTTTCTTCCATGGTTTTATTTCCGTGCTTCTACTCCATAGTGGTCACACATCGAAACCGCATTTTTTCCATTGCTTTTCCGTTGTTTCACGCGTGCTTTACGCGATAATGGTCCCACATCGGAGCCTCAATTTTTCCATTGTTTTTCCACCCCATCAATTTCCATCCTTTTACTTTTATTTTACTTGGAATCATTTTCCAAGCGTTCTACTCAAATTTTCCATTATTTTCCCATTGTTTTATATGCTATCAATCTATTCTTCCATTTCATCAATTTTCCAGTGTTTTGCCATGGTGTTACTCGATTTCTCCATCATTACCCTTATGTTACCCCAGTGTGTCTAACGCTTACCCAAGTGCACCTTCCACAATCCCTACAGTTGCACCGTATAAACGGTTTTGCTCGTTTCTTCCATGGTTTTCTTTCCGTGCTTCTACTCCATAGTGGTCACACATCAAAACTGCAATTTTTCCATTGCTTTTCCATTGTTTCACGCGTGCTTTACGCGATAATGGTCCCACATCGGAGCCTCAATTTTACTTGGCATCATTTTACCCTCTCCCTATTCTTTCCACCGTTCTTCCTCGCGTTTTTGTGCGATCAATTTATCCTTCCATTTCATCAATTTTTCCAGTGTTTTGCCATGGTGTTACTCGATTTCTCCAGTGTGTCTAACGCTTGCCCAAATGCACCTTCCACAATCCCTACAGTTGCACCGTATAAACGGTTTTGCTCGTTTCTTCCATGGTTTTTTTTCTGTGCTTCTACTCCATAGTGGTCACACATCGAAACCGCAATTTTTCCATTGCTTTTCCATTGTTTCACGCGTGCTTTACGCGATAATGGTCCCACATCGGAGCCATTTTACCATCTCCCTATTCTTTCCACCGTTTCTCCTCGCGTTTTAATCAATTTTCCAAGCGTTCTACTCAAATTTTCCATTGCTTTCCCATTTTTTTCCATTGTTTTATGTCAAAGTCCCTCCTTTTTTTCCATTGTTTTTCTCATCATTTTCCCCTCCTTTCCCATTTTTTTCCCATTGTTTTATGTCATATTCCCTCATTTTTTCTATTATTTGTCTCATCATTTTCCCCTCCATTGCAATCTGCCCAGATCCACCTCGGAGGGCGGACCAGGGGGGAATCGATACCCCAACGTCACCCAATTGCCACCTGGTACATAACCCTAAAAAAGTTTACCTGCGTCCACCTTTTTTACCACCTATTTTCCTCATTTTTATCCGATTTCGGGCGCTCTGCCCCCAGACCCCCTTAACTCACTTTGTTCGCATATAGAACTTCGCCTAGCCTAGCGGCTGGCTTTCGTGATGGACATTTTGCTTCCACTCATTCTTTCAGCAAGGCGAAAGTGGAGGACATCCCAGTGATGCTATGATCCCCCTCGGTGGCAAGCGGTAGTCGCTAGATCCAAAATATATCCCTGCTGTGTTTGAGAAGAAAAATTCACTTGTCATCATTTATATCCATTTACCAATTTAAAGAAGTTCCTAGTTTATATCCCCCTCACTATCGATGATTCCAAATCTAGCTTGAGAGGAAACTGCTGCTTCACATCCCAGAAACAGGCTTCGAAAAGCATTTCCCCCGCAAAGATCACCTTAAAGGGGCTTTAACCACGATATTAACATATATTAACTACCAAAGGGTTGTAACCCCCCAACGTGGGGATTGCGCCTTCCGCGCAGGAAGAGTTCCTTTCTGGGCAACCTGCAGGTTGCCCAGCCGGTGGTCCCGGTGGTCCCGGTCAAATGTTGTGGGAAACCAATGGAAACCAGGTCCCTTCCCATCTAAATCTTCCCCCAAACAGAAGGATTTGCCGGAAATTGATGGAAATTCTATGTCCATTCACCATCATTCAGACGCTTCGAGGATAGGAAGATCAAATGAAGCCAACAATAAAGGACAATAAAATCCTATCCACCACACGCCAGCGTCGTCGCCTGACTCATTCAGTTCCGCCATTTCCTCGACCAGGCGAAGAACCCCACGCTTAGTCAAACCAGCAGGTGACCCTGAAATTTCATACTATCATTTCACTATATTTCACTGGCTGCCAGGGCTCCGGCTGGAGCCTCCATTTTTCGTTTATTTCGGTCACAGCCAACCGTATTTCTTGAAACTAAGGAGCTAGTTCCACGCGATGACTAGTTGACTGGAATCTACAGGGCTTCGTTTCGCTGAGGTGTGGTCATGTACCGTCCCTTGTCACCCAGCACTTCAGGAAAATGGAACATGTGTGCAACCTTGGAACATTCCCACATTAAACATCATTAAGCCATCTTCACACCCGTGTTTGAATCATTTTGCTACCACAGACCGTAGGAGCAAAACATGGTGTCGAGTCTCTGCGTCGTCACATCCCAGCACAGCCTCATGGGATTGGAGCAAAGGGATGTCCATCGGTGTCAAATTGGGGACCAACAAAATCCGATGCTACGAAGTTACAGTGGCTTCGGTTACTGCACAGGAGAAGCATGAATGAATACTATTGTCATCATACATTGTTATCATATTGTCATCATCAACACCACCGCCGAAACCACTAGTGAAAGCAACCATATCATCTTTTCCGCCGACGTCGTCAAGTTTTGAACAAAAACAGCTCCAGCGAGTTTAGACCATAGCTTGTGATGCTCAAAAAATAAGAAGCAGGTGTATTCTGCAGATCTGAACCCACCGCGAATTACCATGTGTTCAACATTGTTCAACCACCTGACTTTACGAACTGAATCGACTAACTTGAGCGCAGGCTTCGAAGGCAGGAAACACGGAAAAAAAAAAAAAAACAATCTTTGTCTTTGAAACCACAAAGTGTATTGTCACACCTTTACCCAAAAATCCTGCATTGATTCGTCAGGAGGTTGCCCACAAAAAGTGCGAAATCATAAAATTGCGAATGGTCATACTAATATGGTAAGCCCAAAAATAGACCATCCTCAACTGACTATATCTATCATATTTGATTACATGAAATTATATTATCTATATACATATCTAAAATATTATACATATATTATATATATATTACAGTATGTATATTACATTACATTATATTATATTACATTACATTGCATTATATTATATTATATATATAATATAAACCCATTGGGTGTTCATTTCAAATCCTATATGCGCATTCTGAGGATCTGCACCCAAGCGACGGCATGTCGACCTTCAGCTGTGCAGCTGTCCGGCGCCGTCGACGGCGTGGGCGGTGCCGTGGCTTGGGACGGCGCGTCGGCCGCGACGGCCGGGGGCCTAAGGGATGCCGTGGCTTCGAATGGCATGAAGAAGCCCAAAAAAATGGTTAGCAAATGGATGCCACCTAGCCCCCCAAATGCGGTTTTGAATGGTTTTGAATGGTTTTGACACATCCCCGATGATTAACAACTAAACGAAACCATGAGATTTGATGCGTTTCTCCCAAGCGAATCAGGAAAAAGAAGATGTTGCAAGCCATGGTATGAATATGGGTTCACGGGATGCACATCCAAAATCATCATAATCATCCAAATAGGGTCTCATATGGTCAAATGCTTTCAGTTGTAGATGATACATATATAATCATATATACAGGATATCTCATTTTGTTTGAGGGATGGGATTGATGCAAGTTGCATTGATAATGGATGCAAGTGGGATATCAGCCCCTCTGAAATTTCATCAGCGAAACCCCAAAAAATGAGTTGGAAATGACGCTTCTGTTTGAATCTTGCGATTTTGGAGTTCCATGATTCCATGATAACTTTACAGAAAGACGCATTTGATTGTGGAATTGCATTGCAGTGACTTGGAGGCGGTTAGATGTGTAGTGATTTTTTTTTGCGGCCCACTTGTTTCACGGGGCACAAAAGCCAATGTATGTCTATGGGTGAAACAAAACAACTAAATTATCTTGAAATGTCTTGAACATTTCACCTACTAACCAGTTTGAGGGTCTTCCCTGTGCTACTATCATACTGTGACACCCCACTGGGTGCTTGGATTGGACCACATCAAGGGATCATTCACCCCAAGGTCTTGCGTGTAGGAAGTGCCAAGCCAAAAAGTTAACACAAAAGTCAACATGCAATCATTTGAAGATGATGTTGTTAATTGTTGTTATGCCCGGTTCTGGCTATTGGGCTGGATAGGTTTCTTCAGGTTTCGTCGGACTTAATGGCAGAGCGGCAAGAGCTGTAAGAGTAGCAGCCACGGCAGTCGCAGGGACAAGCAGAATCCAGGGAGCCACCTGAGCTTTCATTGCGTCGGAAAATGAGGGGAACACCCCCAAAGAAGGTACTGTATGGTATCGTTTAGAGGTTGAAATTTAAAAGGCGGTTTGACCGCCAAACTGGTAATGAAACGTTAATCATTAATCAAACTGCTAAACTGCTAAATGCTCAAATGGACCTGTTCATTCCTAGTTCTCAGAGCATAAAATTCTTGTTGCAGAACCACATATACCACATCCCATGGTTTGAATTGGTGCGGTACTGTAATCCCGCTGCTCCATTCAAGCTTCTCTTCATACCTCAGGGTGCCTCGGATCATGACTTTACAACCAATTCGAAAATCATGTCTGGTGACGCCAATCAAACGCACACGACCTGACAACAAAAACGGCACTGGTACCCACACCATGCCAAGCCGCAAGAGACCGAAGATGATGCTCGCCGCGAAGTCGGTCTGCCGAGAGTTTCAACTGGGAAGTTACCCTCAACCGAAGCCAAGAATCGGCCAATCTCCACCCCAGTTTTCTAATGTTTTCTATAATGTGTTCTATGTACCCCAGGGTATTGGAAATCTGACCAGGCCTTGCCACAGGGATCAGCCACCACTCGACCAAGGAGGAACAGCAACGAATGGAAAAGTGCCACCCACACCACAGCCACCAACACCTGGCGGTCAAGGCTTTGAGAACATGGGACCCACAGAAGCATTCAGCATAAGAATCCAAGCGCTTGGGCACTATGTTTCATCATGTTTCATCCCACCATACAAGGTGCAAAAAAAAGTACATAAGTTACATAAGGCGTTGAAACTGATGAGATTTAAACCCCGACCCACGAATTAAGCCATTCCGTAAAGTTCGAAAAAACTTCAAGTTCAACAACCGTCCAGTTCCTCCAGTTCCAGGTTTTAGCCTTTTGGCGCAGCAAAAACCAATCTGCCCTTGGACCTGCAGCATTACAGTGCACCGCATCCACCGTGGTGTTCTGCAGCATCCAACGCGACTGCCGAAGGCCTGTCAACTGATGACTTTTTTCGGCCATCAGATTGTCCACTGAAAGTCGGAAACATCTCCAGGTTTTGCCAAGTACGAATCGCCTCAGGCGCCCGACGTGACGCAATTGGAACAGTCCCAGTAACCTGCCTGTGGCTTGCACAGCATCAATGCCAATGGCACCAGCAGCAGCAGCGCTGCTGAGGTGGCAAAGAAGCACTGCCTGCGGGTTGGGGACTTTTTTTTCCATTGGCAAACCAACTCATCTACCAGGCAAGCAGGGAAAATCAGAAGCATCAAGGGTACAAAGACCGGTTGGTGGTTCACAAACTCTCAGAGGGATCTCATGTGTTGCAATACATCATGAGATTTCAACACCATGCAGATTGGTTTCAAATCTCTCCGAGGCCCTTTATCTTCACCAAGAGGCAAGAAGAACATTGAAGCGTTCACTGCTCTCATCTGCCTCAAGTCTGCCGGATTGCTTGTGGGTTCGCTAACCCCCCTATTTTGCCACGGGAATGACCATGAAAATGGGCTAGGCATGGCAATCTTCCTGGAAACGTCGTTGACCATGGATGTTTGAAGCATGCTGAAACCATGCCATCCCCAGTTGCAGAGCTCTATGCTGGTCATTGCCACCTGAGAGAACCGACAGGGATCTACCTCTAAAATGCGTCAGGGACCTTCCACCAATCGTAAAGTGAGGTGTGCCCAACATCTGGCAACACAGGGAAGTCATCTGAAACACATCTCCAAGTTGCAAGAATTGCGGAGCACTCAGGTACCAATCATACCTGGAAGTGCTGGGATGTTGTGGGCACTTTGACGATTGCAGAGGTTTGCTTCAGATGGGTCACCTGTGCAAGATTAGCCATCCCCAAAAATGCGACAAAGCTATGAAGAAATGCAATAGATTCAATAGCAATGGGCCTTCCATGCACAAAATCCGAAGTTAGCAAACAAGTCCTGCAGGACATGGTTGAGTAATAGACAATGCAAACTGATGGATAAACCACCTCCCAACTATTGTTGCGTTAGCACTGATTAAGCAATGGTTTTGATGAATCATGGTCGAGAGTGCAGCGCCCCACCAAAAGAAACTCGGCAAGTGTTAGACTGTTAGACTCCATGCTGGGACACACAAGATCCATTGGAATGTTTGTGTTGTTTGTGGGCGAAGCCGAACCAGCACCCAAATAAAAACATAACCCTCCCGCAAGAAGAAGCTTATTTGAAGCACAGCGCTCATGGGAAGTGTAGATGATGTGGCTCTGAAACTCCGGCTGCAAATGGAGTGGATAGGCAGGAACTCTGCAAAGATACATGCTGTACCTTGCCAGGCCCGTCTGAGGGTCAAGCCGCCCTGAAACTTTGCCCCACGGAACGCTTTGATTCAAAAGTCCACTCTCCGAAATTTCTGGTGCAACTCTCTTAGTCGAATTACATAAAAGCTGGCAATCTATCGTAGCTGAAAAAGATTAATAATCTATCTGTGAGTTCACTGGTAAAGCCTAAAGCCATGGTAAATGTTCAGCCAGCTGCATTTCATGCATTTTGCTTGGCAAAAAGCTGCGCAGGCATCATTCGAACAACTATGTCAGATTCTGTGCAGCCATCGTCACAAGTGATGTCTTGTCACACAGCAAAGGATGTGAACCTGGAACAATTTTTTGTCCCACAAATTTGTAGCTAGAGGTGGCCGAATCATGCCTCTACAGATTCAGTGAAACAGCTGACTTGCTGTGCTTCAGGGAAGCCTCCAGTTTCCTTCCTTCCTGCAGCATGTTGTTATTCCAGCAGGAATTCGACACGTTCCTTTTGGGGACGCACAGCAGTTCTGTGACCCGAAACGAAAAATCTGTGGCCCATCCTCCAAACAGCATCCATGTGTGTTGCTATTGAACAGGATTTTGTCGCCACAACACCTCCGGGGCTCCTTCTTAAACAGGCGGCCTTTGCAGCAGCCAGTGGTTTCTGTGTTGTAGATTCGACCCGAACAGCAATCTTGTGTTCGACTGTCAAAGACTTGGCCGTTGCAGCACCCAATCATCGTAGCGTCATGGAGTTTGGAGCCGCAGCGTTGCCGAGCACATAGCTTTCCATCCAAGTCAAATATGTGACATGTTTCCTGGTTGTAAGCAGTTGCTCTTGACTGACATTGCTCCAAAGCATTCTGCTCTGCAGCACTCTTGGAAGTCTGTTTGACTGAAAGCCAACCCACCTGGCATGAAGGGGTCATTGCCCAAGCCATGTGGCTGTCTTCGGACTTGGTCGCGCAATAGCGCTTCCAGACGCTGGCGTAGTTGCTGGGTGGCCACTCCTTGGTGCAATTCCACGGGATCTTGTCTTCTTGTGGTTCCACCGGCGCCAAGCATTGCAATCCAAAGACCAAATATTCCTGACCCAAGTCGAAGACCTGTTCATCATTGCAGCAACCCTGAGTTCGGGTGTCATATGACGCCTTTCCTCCGCAACAATCTTCAGCGATACCACTTTCCATTGCATGATCGTCACATTGGAACTGCGTGCAGTCACTGACAAGGGAAGCGGCATCTTTGAGCTGAGAAGCTCCTCTTGATCAGGCGAACAACCCAAAAATTCGACATGTCCGCTTGCAAGATCGTAAATGCCACCCTGGATTTCCATTTGTCGATGATACTTCAGAAGGAAATTTATGGTGTGGACCACATGTTAGATGTTTTAGGACTACATCAGGATACATCAAGAGCCAAACATCAAAGAGGTGCTGAGGTGCTAGGTAGAATGGTAGCAGCACATTTTTTTTTCCGGCAACATTCTTCTCCGAGAGAGAGTACGACGGCAGATTGACTATTAAGATCCTACAGTGAGAATCTATTCGCTTCATTCTCGACACCATAGTTACTTGCGAGGAAGACGCTTGCGTATATTGTCATATGCCGCGATATGTCTGTCGGCTGGTCATTTCCTGGCAGGAAGGTTCGGAAGGTTTCTGTTCAATTTCATGTAGAAGTCCCAAGATTGCTTCCAAGTGCTCGACTTTGTATAATTCGCTGCTTGTGACATTATGTGGGTTCACATTTCCAAACTTTGCTCGTAATTGTTTATGAAGTTCTGTCTCCACCTCCAGTGCTCGCCGTGGGGTCTGATACAGAGAAATTGCCTCAACCTTTTTCAGAGACATTGGCGCAAAGTTTTTTTTGTATCTGTTCAATGTACCCCTTGTACCGAAAAGCCCGGGGTACGAGCTGCATCCGACCTTTAACACTGCTGCTGTTCTGGATTTCAAATGCAAGACATGAACTACACCACAAACACCATCAGATTTACCAAAGTTGTGTGTTGTCAGTTCTTCGTCAATTTTGAATCTTAGGACCTGGATTGCCCAAGGCAGTTGGAAGTGATCTTCAGAATGAAGGATGGCATTGTAGAGGCTCGATCTCAACGAGTCTGCTCTGCGAGCAATCGGTGGTATGAATGGCTCTGGATGTGACGGTGCCAGGCGACGATCACAGTTCAGTACCTGTCATTGGGTTAAAGTATGTCTATATATGATATGCATTCATATTTTTATGCATTTTGATAACAATATTGTTACATGCAAATAGAATAAAGATTATTCCGAATTAGTCCGAGGCACTGCCTGTAATAGTTCTTGGGTAGATAAACTCCACCAATCCAATGCTTCTGGCGCGGGGCCTTTGAAAGGCCACAACTTTTTATACACCCTCACAAGATTTTGCCACTCTGCATGTGTATCTCTCTCACTTCTTTTCCGATTGTCAATGACATGCTGCATTTCCTTGTCGTACTTCTCCATTTTCTGTTTACCTTGTACACTCAACTGGATGCCTTTTCTGTGGAGACTTTTCGTCAGTCGCCAGGGAGTAAGTTCTTCCTTGAAATGCATATAGATGTTTTCTTTTTGGAATATAATGTGATATAAAACAACGAAACATTTCCATATATCATGGAATTGGCCTTTGTCATCCAGCGAAATTTGAGATATGGTGGCTGAAGCCTCAACAGAGAGCCTCTGATCCGTATCACGTAATGTGGGAGACAAAATGTTTCGCATTTCTTCTCGCAATTCCTCCGTAGCCGCTTCAATATGTCTCTCCCACAACTGATTGACTGCCGTTCTGGAAGTCTTCTCGGCTTGATGGAGCCTTGTCTCCAATTCCCTAGCTGTCTCGTTCGCACGGAGCAGATCGAGTTGTTGATTTGCTATTGTCTTGTCCTTTTCCATCAGCTGTGCAATGCGCATGGTTTCTCTATCCTTCGCTTCTTTCAGCTGCGCTGCCTGAAGTTCTGCCATTTGTTGGTGATCTTCCATTGCAGCTGTGACGGAACGCAAACTTGCAGCCAACGAATGGAATGTTGACGACAATGCACCATCCGCATCTGCATCTGGTTCGCCCATGGGAACCAAGGCGCCTGATTCGCTCTGATCCGTTGCAGCCCGTAGGCCCGCGCGACAGAGATCCCGCAACTGTCCACGCGAGCGCGAGCGCTCACAATCTACGTCTGCAGACGCGCTTGGCAAGCCAGACTCATGCTGACGCACGCTGTCCTGGGAGGATTCGATCTCAATCAATTCACTGTCTTGGACGGGACTGCTTGGGCTAGCTTCTGTGCCGTCACCTACAATAGCAAGGTTGAAGTTTGATGGCATTGAGGGATTCGCAAAGGAAATATCAATCCTTGGTGGCACTCCTTCTTTGCCTGCATTCATTCTGCGGTAGTGTAAACCAGAATGTGATTCCCGTGCTCGCAGGACCAGCGGCAGTTGGGAAACGACGCGTCGGACAGTGCCCGAGGGGCAACAATGCACCACTACCAGTAATGAGCCAAAACACATGACGTGAATTCGCATGAATTCTCACTGTTTCCTGCACATTCCTATGACGATCTGCATCGAACAGGGATTTCGTCTTGCCCCACGGATTCCTATGACGATCTGCACCTGGCTACTTTTTGGAAGAGGAGTTTGCAATTAGGATATCCTCTATCCCCACGAATTCCTATGCCGCTCTGCACCTGGCTACTCTTTGGGAGAGGAGTTTTCAATTAGGATCTACTCCTTTCCTATAAATTCCTATGACGATCTGCATCTGCCTACACTTTGGGAAAGTAGTTTTCAATTGGGATCTACTCCTTTCCTACAAATTCCTATGACGATCTGCATCTGCCTACTCTTTGTAAGAGGAGTTTTCAATTAGGATCTACTCTCTTCCTATAAATTCCTATGACGATCTGCACCTGCCTATTCTGTCGAAGAGGAGTTTTCAATTAGGATCTACTCTTTTCCTATAAATTCCTATGACGATCTGCATCTGCCTACTCTTTGGGAGAGGAGTTTTCAATTAGGATCTACTCCCTTGCTATAAATTCCTATGACGATCTGCATCTGCCTACTCTTTAGGAAAGGAGTTTTCAATTGGGATCTATTCTTTTCCTACAAATTCCTATGACGATCTGCATCTGCCTATTCTTTGGGAGAGGAGTCTTCAATTAGGATCCACTCCTTTCCTACAGATTCCTATGACGATCTGCATCTGCCTATTCTTCGGGAGAGAGGAGTTTTCAATTAGGATCTACTCCCTTCCTATAAATTCCTATGACGATCTGCACCTTCCTATTCTGTCAAAGAGGAGTTTTCAATTAGGATCTACTCTTTTCCTACAAATTCCTATGACGATCTGCATCTGCCTACTCTTTGGGAGAGGAGTTTTCAATTAGGATCTACTCCCTTGCTAGAAATTCCTATGACGACCTGCATCTGTCTACTCTTTGGGAGAGGAGTTTTTAATTAGGATCTGCTCCAGTCCTACAAATTCCTACGATGATCTGCATCTGCCTACTCTTTGGAGGATGAGTCTACTCCTTTCCTATAAATTCCTATGACGATCTGCATCTGCCTACTCTTTGGGAAAGGAGTTTTCAATTGGGATCTACCCCTTTCCTACAAATTCCTATGACGATCTGCATCACCTTTCTCTTTAGAAGATGAGTTTTCAATTAGGATCTACTCCTTTCCTACAAATTCCTATGACGATCTGCATCTGCCTATTCTTTGGGAGAGGAGTCTTCAATTAGGATCCACTCCTTTCCTATAAATTCCTATGACGATCTGCATCTGCCTACTCTTTAGAAGAGGAGTTTTCAATTAGGATCTACTCCCTTCCTATAAATTCCTATGACGATCTGCATCTGCCTATTCTTTGGGAGAGGAGTTTTCAATTAGGATCTACTCCTTTCCTACAGATTCCTATGACGATCTGCACCTGCCTATTCTTTGGGAGAGGAGTTTTCAATTAGGATCTACTCTCTTCCTATAAATTCCTATGACGATCTGCACCTGCCTATTCTGTCGAAGAGGAGTTTTCAATTAGGATCTACTCTTTTCCTATAAATTCCTATGACGATCTGCATCTGCCTACTCTTTGGGAGAGGAGTTTTCAATTAGGATCTACTCCTTTCCTACAAATTCCTATGACGATCTGCATCT